AGTGACACAAACTGATGTCGGCGTCAGTACCTCAGCCTCCATGTGGTAGGAGTCCTCCTCCCTGCGGAGAAGCTTACTCGTTGATGTGTCTTCAACACAGACGCCATGTTGTCTAAGCACAATAAATGACTTTTTACTGCTGCCACTCAAACTCAAGAAAGATTATACATTCAAATGATTTTTTGGATTTTTTCATTGAGCATTTATATGGTATTAAGTACTCATTATTTGCAGTACCTTTAATATCGGTATTAAATACAAATATGCTGCAGTTTCCCCCTTTTTCTGTAGATAGTATCCTATGCAGCAGCTACTGAGGCACAGAACTGGTATTTACATTTTCTTTTCAAAATTTTATATATATTTAGTAATTCTGTATTAAATTTAATAATTGATACATACTGCACTATCTTACAGTTGTCATTTGTATTGTTACAAATTAACGTTATTGTAGGCTTGTTTTCCGACTTCAGAATTCTTTATATAGTCCTGTCACGTGGCGTGTCATGTGACTAGTGACTAACATGGCGGCCAACACGAGTGTACCCAAACTGTGTTCATTACGAGTTACTTTACTTCTCATGTTTCACTGTTTTATTCGTTGGTTGTGTGCACAATTACCAGCACAACTGCTCAAGTAAAATGATTGAACAAAGTGACAAAAACTGTGAAAGTGAAACTTTAGGTCAGACTAAGAACAATTTCACCTGAGTGTTTTCACCTGAGGGACTGTAGAATGTACTGTGTCCGTCTGGAAACGCTATCAGTGACCTCGCTCACTGAATCCTTACTGCTGCTGACACTGATGCGGACAGAGGCTTGATCCGCTGGGCACCGGAGCTCGGCTGCTCCCGTGACCTGGACCATCCTGGTACGGCTACCGGGACTGTGTCGGTGAACTGTTCGTACTTCCAGTCCCTGCTCATTCCCATGGCCGTCAAACTCTCTGCTCACAGCAGGCAGTATGGTGGCAAACACTCTGCTCTGGTTGTCCATGATGGAGACCGACAACAACAACGGGCCGCTGCTATGGAAATGACCGGAATGCACGACGGGAGGTGTAGTGCACTACACCCGGAAGTCGATGCCATCGCTGACTGTCAGAACCTGAGCAGGACTTTCTGGTAGTAAAACATTTGTACATTTTGTCGATAAATTGGATATAATTCTGCATGCAATTTTGTTTTCATATTAGCAGAATTCTCCTATGTATATAGCTACAATATATTATTGGAACGTTACGGTTAATTCTAATAATTTCCTTCTTAAGTTGACTGTTCAGTACTTCTGTTTTGCCAGCAGGAGGCAATACAGGATTAAAAATGATAAAAAGTCAAACGACTGCATTTAAACAAGGAGAAAGAAGAAACCGTTAGAGACGAGGATTAGAAAGTACATTAGATACATTTGATGTCAGTTTTGTAATTTTTTTTTAAAATTAAAAATCAAGTTTTACATTAAACAAACCAGCATACGTGTTTTTGTTCACCTGCAATTATCTGAGCCATCTTACGTGTGGTCTAAGTTATATACTATATTAAAACAATATGAATTTAAATAATGATTTGATATTCATATTATTTAGAATAATATAATATACTATTATAACAATATCATTTGCATACATCTAATATAAAAGAAAATAATGTTTAAGGCACATTCTCTTCATCGACTGTGGACATTTTATGTGCTGTTCTCTTAAAAAAAATGGTTGAAGACAGTGGGGAACTACAGGGAACTGGTCCAGATCTGGACCCTGGGTTCTTCAAACAACCAAGTTTGTTTGGTCTCCCTGGAGTATTAAACTGTGAATGGACTTTATAATCACAACCTAAAATTACAGGGCCATATTTGTTGTTATTGTCTCAGGTTTCGCCGGTTCCCTGGTACGCTCTGTGAAACCCTAGATCTGATGTGCGTTTTTGGCCAAGAAAGATGCAGCACCGTACAAAAGGCTATTTTCATATGGCAGAGAATGAGGGAGATAAGGACACACTTTAACTTTTAAATCACCACACTGTTTCTCCTCGGCCGCCCACAAACCGTCAGGCCACTCTCACCCACCTTCACTTTACTCATTTTGAATATACAATCTTAAATCCCTGCACACACCTCTCACCCTTTACACTCAGAATCATTTCTAATGTCCAGAAAAACATATTTGCGTTCTGCAATGTGGTAAATGAAACTGGTGCTAAATTATTTATTCAGTTGGTAATCATCACAAGGTTTGTGACCACTTGCATAAACAACGAGTCCATTTTACTCCTTAAAGCATTAATCCTTTATTTTCACTCTGTGTTTTTGTAATAACCACTGGTTCAAACTACACTCTGTGATTCCTGCCATGAAATAGGGCTGTAAAAATTTATGTAACCTGAAAAAAAAGAATTGGTTGTGTGAATAAAAGGTGGGCAAACTACATTTTGGGAGGTTTTTTGAGCTCCGCTTTGTCCCTAGTTGTTGGTGAAAAGGTTTTAAGGGTCTTTTAGATGGAGTCTGTGGCCACTTAGGGAAAAAGATTTGACTATAATGGTCTCCAAATCTGTTGATGTGTCTTTCCCTCTTTCTCAGATGAAGTAATAAAGTTAGCCCTGTTGGAAGCCCTCCATGTCTCCCCATAGGACACAATCAAAGACCGTGTAGTTTTATTGCATTTTTATTTTCATATTGTCCAAGAAATCTCCAGACTCCCTCCTGCGCCCATTGCCATAAATCGTATATTTTGACTCTATTTCTTCCACTCCGCATATTTTATTTATGGGCGAAGGCGATAAAACCTGCAGCATGCACTCTGTGTGTCCACAGATGTCATCTGTCTCCAACTTTATTGTAAAAGGGGGGAAAAAGTAACGTTTAATTTTTTCATTTCCTCGCAAAACCCTCCCTGCCTGTTAAAAACAGATGCTGATAGAAGGAAGAGAATAATTGTCATTGTTTATGTCTTCAGGATGAACGCTCCTATCGGTCTAATGATCAACTTAGAGATTTGATGATGCTTTTGTTGAGTTTTTTTTTCTAAGAGCAAGTTTCAGGCATTGCTTTTTATATATAAAAGCCTATTCTCCTTTAGTGGGCCCAAGTTTTCAACCGTTGTTTTTCATATTATCCAATAAATAGGTGACTTGTTCAGGAGGAAATTCATTTTTATTAACTGGTGTTTCCTCAGTCAACGTAAAGATTTAAAAAATTATCCAAAATTAAACCAATTAGTTTGGGAATGCAATGAGTTTAAAACATTCCTCTGCACAAAACCAGTGAAAGCCAGTGTTTTAGGACAGATAATTTCAAACATTGTTGAATATGTTGTATTTTTTATCAAATGTAGACTTTTAGAGTTATCACAGAAAGACTGTTTGTTCCAGCTCTGTCTGATTCTTTTTTTTTCTTTTCCCCCAAAATTAAAAGAACATTTTGCGGGAACTCCATTTCAGTTTTAGACAAAGCAAAGAAGCAGAAACTGTGACTTCTGCCAAAGACGTCCCTCAGAAATCCAGGAAGGAATTCTGTGATGGAAACAATGCTAACAGACGTGTTTAGACCTCAGTGGAGGATATGGAGAGACAAAGCTTTGTGTTTTTTATGTTTATTATAAATTAGTAGTTTTGACTGCAAATAGAACAAAGCATACAGCAGATGCCATAATAGATCAAATATTCTTATTAAAATCCCTAAGATGTCAAACTGGAAGCAGGGCCTTAACAGTCATCAGCTCCAGAGATGCTCGTACTGTAGGTCCTGAGAGAGGACCAGAGAGGCCAGTCCACTGCTGACTTCCCTGCATGTCCGTGTATTATCAGAGCTATTTTCTCATGCTGTCACTCATGCTCCACAGCGTTGATCTCTGTAAACAGCTCGTAGCCAAATAAACAGTCGGGTCCTCGACCACCCCTCACCACTGCCTCCCTGCAGTGAATAGTTTTTAGCAGCAGATATTTAGCTGCAACGTTTACGAGCTCATTACTGACATGATTACATTTTTCAGCATTTAGTATGCACGCCGCACCTTTCCTGTTTAGTTCCATTTATGGTTCACTGATGAGGGGTTTCTATGTTGGGCCTGTCGACATACAGTACAGTATGGTGCACATACATGTTGAGACACACACACGCACACAGCACATATAAATACACGGGGCTGAACCTGTTGTAAAGACCTCATAAAGACTCAACATCTGTTTATTGCAATGCATACCAGTCAGACACCCACCCAGATAAATACCCACCCACTTAAATACATAGAAAGTTCTGCATGTTTTAATTACTGCGTGCATGCATACACACACAGGTGTCCGGGATATAGGCACTTCCTCAGGCGATGATAATGAGGTGTGTGTTAGAGAAAAGGAGCATTTGGAGCTGCTTAATGTGGCAGTAACGCTGCCGTGTGTTTCAGACAGGTCAACAGGTGTCGCTTCGTACAAGCCGTGCAGCTTTAGTAAAGTTGGAACTCCTCTTTTATGCGCAGGGCTGTGTGGCACATGATTGAATATTCGGAATGGGTTTAAATTTACATGTTGTGAAACGGACCTAAAACTATTTTTTTTCTCCTTATTTCACTCTTTTTTTTTGCCCCTCGTTTCTTATAGTTTTTATGCTTTTTCAGGCTGGTTGAGTTTCAGGGCTCCATTAAAAGTTCAAAGGCAGCGTTTACTACTGTAACTGGAGCTAGTCTGCACTGAGGCTTTGCACTAATGAGAGCACACATACACACATGCACACATGTTCCCCTCATGGAAGCGACGCAATGCTTTTCCCCTCACTTATTCGGCAGGAATTGTGTCTACTTCGGTGCCGACGATCGATCACAGGCTTAACGGCCCTTTCAGCACCCTGTCCCTGTTTGTTCCCTCCGTCCACTTCTCCAAATTCCCTCGTCCAAACAACACTTCAGACCGCTTTACTGACAGATGTGTGATCGCCAGTGTCAGATATAAGTCCCCCCCACACCTCCCCCCACTCCATTGCAGTAAATTCAACAGAGAAATGTATGTAATGAAAATGGTTTGAGGAAGTGGTTTCAGGTTCTGTCAGTACTAGCATTTCTACCTTTGCCTGATCCATTCTCCAGTATTATTGTTGCTTTAAAATACGTTTCTAGCCCGCGGTGATCTCAGTTATGCCTTGGTTCATGGGTCTATCTGCAATGGGTGCCTCAAGTAGACCAAAGTTAGCCTGACTGTGACTGATCAGCTCTTTGTTATTAAAAGAGAGAGGCGACAGGAAATGACTACATTTAATACAAATCAAGGTTAACATTTTCAGCTTGCTTGCTAATAGCAAAACAACATAATGTCACTGTCGTCTTAACTCAACATCAGGTGTCAAATTGTTAAATAGAGCGAACACTATTGACTTAAGTCACTGTGTGGTTCTTTACCTGCAAGATACTGTATGTGTTGTCAGCGTTGTCTGTCTGTATTTTGTAAATCTCTTGTATTACTACAGTAAGTCAAAGCTCATGTACTGCCCTACTGCCATCATGTTAATTGGTGATTGTGGCTCTCTGTGATTTTTTATTTTCTGCCAAAATGGCTTTTTTGTTGTTAGACAAGAGGTTAGAGACATCTGGCTTGATTTAATTTTCCATTTGTATAAAGGTTGTAATCACGCTTCTATATGATGAACCTCTACGATTCTCCGTGATGTTTCACGTGTAAGTTGACACGTTTTCACAGAGAACACGAAGACCTTTGCAGACGAGAAAATAAGCCGAGGATCCGTTAATGGTTTCACAGCCCACTTCCCACTAACCTCTTATAACAAATTAGAATTTAATCATGTTTGTTGAGTCTCTAGACTTTAGCTGCTTCTGACCTTCCTCTCGGCCGTGTCCTCGGATGTCTGACATTCCAGAGTAAACACAAAAACAAACAGCCCAGACAGTCAGGCCTGGGATTTCGACTAGTGGCATAGACATATTTGCCCTGAATTCCATGTATGTGTGTGCGGGTTGTTTGATCTATTCCTAGTTCTTGGTTGTTTCTTTTAATTCATATTGTGGTTTAGTATTATTTGGTTCCCAGGAAAACTACAGGAATTAAGTTAGTTAGTGTTTACCTTCAAACTGCACTTTTAAATACAATATTTTTTAGGACAAAAAATACTCTGTCAGTTGTTGAAAATTCAGGAATGCTAATATTTATTCAGCGTTTACGAATCACAGTTTTAGCTTAAATGTGTCTGTATCTGTGCCGCACCGCCAAGAGCGGGAAATTCAATATGGCAAACATTTATTGTTTCCCCATTTTGCTGCCTTTAGGGGAAAATCTTCGGCATTAACCTTTGACCCCACTGCTGGACTTCCTCCGCACCACCTTACCATCTTCTTCTTGAGCTCTGATGATGATGGAAGGAGAATAAAAGGTAAGGATACATTCTTGCTCCGACTGCCTTTCCAAGATTTTATTCTGGAAATCAGAGTTAGCAATAACCCAGGCTTCACAGGTTGTTTTTTATTAACGTCCGAGAGCAGATTCAGGGCGATAAAAGTGGATTTTTCAAACTTTTACAGCTCACCACCCTCTCCCTTTTTCCTTTCTCCATTCATAGTGTGTCTCGATCTCCCCCTCTCTTTTCCTTCCCCTACATAATTCCTCTTACCTCCTGGGAACGGCAGGAGTCTGCTGCCTGTTGGCACTGGGGATCATAAACACCCAAACCCACCACCGTCCTGCACCTAGGGGCAGGAAACCCCATACTTGCGCACCTGCATTGACTACCATGACAACAAGGACCATGTGTCTATCAAACCCATGTCTGAAAGAACCTGTTCTGAGGCATCTGCTGGAGGATAAACACACACATACACCCTCTGTTGTATGCTGGACCAGGGTCAAGGGTTGAGGAACCCCATTTCCTGTCCAGACAGACCAAGGCCAAACACCGCAGCACTCCCCTCACTTCCACTCCACTCCTCTCTCCTTCTGCCCTTCACGTTCAGTTTCTCCTCTGAGCTGAGAATTCACCGCCACTGCACGAAAGAATTTGATTTGTTGAATGGGTGTGCGTTCGGAGTGTGATTGATGCCGTGTTTGTAATTAACCAGCAGCCTTTTCCTCACAGGAGCTTTTAAATGCAAACCTTAGGTTGATTTAATAATGCGATGGAGTAAGTTAATCTCTTAAAAGTAACTATGTTTTTTCTTCTCAGACTGCTCTCAGGAGCTTTATTAAAGGAGCGTGATCCTTATGTTACACAGATTTGAAAAGGCTCTGGCGAAATATCCGTGTTAGTCGCAATTGAAACCAGCTCCTCTAAAATAATTCTGGACTCTGTATTAAATCAGCAGCCTGCAGAAAAAAAAGAGAAAAAAAAAGAGAAGTCAATTTGACGGCCATTCTGAGCACACGTGGCTAAATATATCTTGGTACAGAAACCTCTCAAGGTGTGTGTTATTTACGCCTTAACCGGCCTTAAAAACTGGACACTTCACTTCACGCGTCAAACCGACTCATTAGGTCTCGTATGTTTTTCAAGTAAACAGAACGTATTTGACTATTTTTCTGCCCTTGTCTACTTCAGAGCGGCCCTCTGTGGTGAGGCCCGCTCTGGTAATAGCCTCTGTTCTCTGCTGTGCTGAGATTAATGTGAAGACTTATTGATGTAATGATGGAGCCATGAAAGAGCACTCAGGGCAGTGGTTTGGACCTACACACCCGCTTAATGGACTTTGTGTGTATGTTTGTGAGTACATGTGTTACAGCTATCTGTGAGTGTGTGTGTGTGTGTGTGTGTGTGTGTGGTTTTAGTCAAAAACAGATGAACATAATAGACTCTGGTCTGATTTGAAGGGCCCTCAACAGCTGAGTCTGTGTTTCACTCTGAGATTGTGTTGCATGGATGAAATGACCTGACTCAAGGTGTGTGTTTAAATGTGTGTTTCC